ATGTCAACCAGAGGAAAGCAAAGCTATTGCAGTAGAGGGACCAGAGGAGAGGGGACCTGTGGGCTGGGGAGCAAGTGGGTACAGCGCAGAGTTGCTTACATGACCTTATGGTGTATTATCTCTCTCATTTAAACTTCTCTCATTTTTTCACTATTGTCTTATTTTTATGTTTTATATTACTTGACATTCCTCTCCTAACCCTGAACCCTTTCTTTTCCTCACAGAGTTCAGGCTTCGGTGCTCTTGCAAAGAATTTTCAGAATTTGGAGTCTGAAAGAATTCTATTGTAACTATTGCTCACTGAAATGTAACCCCAGCCAACCTCCGTACACTGGGCAAAGCCTCCAGAGCGGTAGGTGGGCGGCACTGCTGTGGCAGGCAGGCGTTCCTGGCAGGGAGTTCCAGGGATCGGAGGCTTACACATGTCATCCAGGCACAAGCTCCGTGCTACTCACACCCTGCTGGGAAGAGAGAACTGAAGGATCTAGCAGGCTGCTCATGCTCTACTCTGAGGAAGTGAACAGAGAAGGTCCTGATGCTGCGGGCTTAGGAAAGGCCGAAGGGTGCATGAACTACTGGATGTTCACTGTGTGTGTGGGAAGAAAGTAGGAAACTTTTGGTTAGTATCTCAAAATATTACCCCACCACAGCAATATTCATGGATCTATACTTAGACCCTAATTTAAGCGTATAAGAAAACAATAATATAGTGGTAAACTTTTGGCTTTTTTAAAATCTAAAGCTGTAGCCAAGAGAGAATGTTATTTTCAAAAGTCCAAATTAATAGCAAAATTAGAAAGTGATGATGTTACCCTGTGCTTCTGTTTTATTTCCCTGTTTTATTCCTCTCTCCTCCTGAGATGGTTCATTAGCTTAGTTTCTTTTGCCCCAGGAGGGAAAACTTGAGGTAAATTCAATCGTACTGAAGTTCTCTATCTTACAGGAGTATTTAAATGTTAAAAGGGGACAGTATGGAGAAGTCAGCATTAAATACAAAGAATGCATCATGATAGATGGACTTGAAGATAATTGTAGGGTAGATATTTTTACCTTTCCCTACTGGAGCAACCACCCCGTGGTTCAAGGTAGAGGAGAGGAAATGAGACTCTTTCCCCTTTCCTGAAATCCTGGGATAAATCAGTTGAGCAGCTCAGAGAAAATCAGTTGAGCAGCTCAGAGAAAGCTCTAGCCCCACCAGGCAGAAGTGACAGAATGTGGAGGGTATCTACAAGACCACCAGGGACTGACAAATAGAACAGCAGTCAGAAGGAGCCAGAAGCTAGGCGTGGTGGCTCACACCTGTAATGCCAGCACTTGGGAGGCTGACATAGGAGGAATTACGTTGAGTTTGAGGCCAGCCTGGGCTACATAGTGAGTTCAAGGTGAGCCTGAACTACATAGGAAGATCCTGTCTCAAAAGAAAAAGGAGAAAGAGAAGGAGAAGGAGAAGGAGAAGGAGAAGGAGAAGGAGAAGGAGAAGGAGAAGGAGGAGGAGGAGAAGGAAGAAGGAGAGAAGGAGGAGAAGGAAGAAGGAGAGAAGGAGGAGGAGGAAGAAGGAGAAGGAGAAGGAGAAGGAGAGAAAGGGGGAGGGCCCAGGAAGGGTAGAGGGAGGGGAGGAGGTAGAAAAGAAGAAGAGGGGAGTCAGAGACAGGGCTAACACACTGGGGTGTGTGGACGGATGGAGAAAAAGGTGCTGGGAGTTTCCCTGGCAAGGTTCAAATCAGGGGATGTGGAAGGACATTTATGTGTGCTTAGTGTTGTAAGCTTAAAAACAGATCCAGAGTTGGTAGAGGTTCCTGGTGACATGAGGAAGCAAACAGTATCTTTGGTGTTCTTAGAAAACACCTTCCCTGAAAGTGTGCTGTTTCTTCATTTTGAAATGTGGTCAGAATTTATTTTCAAGGATAGGTGTTTAGTACATTCTTTAACTATTAAGCAAAGAATGCCTTTCAGATGTAACTTCTTATCACCTGTATTCTTAGTGCAAAAGTTGCAAGCAGTCTTACCTTTCGGATTTTCCAACACAATTTGATCCTTTTGTTCTACCTTTGTGCAGCAAAGTGGACCACAAGGAATTGCCTGGAATAGACTTAGGCTCACACTGTCTTGCCTGACCTCTGCATACCTGGCTCAATGTCTTCAATGTCTTCAAAGACTTCACAAGTCTCATTATATTTGCAGATCAAGAGCTAATCTGCACTTAGTTGGCTGATGATGTTCCTGGACTTTGGTACCATTCTTTAGCACTCCTGATTGTGAATGTTTGCTCTTGGCCCGATAATGGATGGATCTACCAAACTTTAGGATTCCCCTTGGTATGCTATTGTCCAGACATGAGGACTTCAGTTAGGGTTAGTTAAGGGGAGATCAGTCAGGAGTGGGAGTAGAACTCAAACAAAGACATTAAAGCTATGTCTAATTTCCTCCAATTCTATTCATTAGTAAGGATACTATATTTTGGATACTAAATGTAACTGTACAAAAACTTTTTCAATAAGCTTATTTGTAATCCTAGTCACAGGTGGTGGCTTCCTGAAATACAATATATGACAAATTTCTATAATTTTAGGTGGCAAGCTATCAGAACACATCTTCAGGGCTGTGTACTTCTCTTGTATCATTAGCCAAACGGATTATTAGTTAACTGCTAACAAAGCGTTCTTGAGTGACCTTTTCTGAGATGAAGGGAGGGTTAGGATGAGCCAGCCTCAACTAGGGGGAAATAAATGAACTGAAACAAACGTACACATCATGCCAAATGTTGGATTTTGAAAAATGACAGGAACAAGCAAATCAGCCAAATACTTAAGAATCCTTGGTAGGGCGATCCTTTCTGAGTAACAGTTCGGGACAGAGCTTAAGAGAAACAATAATTTCACAAATACAGCCCAGCCTTACAGAAAGCAGTCTTACCTTGCATGCAGCAAGGGACAGATTGGCTCAATGACAGGAGCCTGGGCTTTGGAGCCAGACAGACCAGAGTTGGGATCCTGGCCTTTATGCTTTCTGGCCATTTACTCTTGTACACATGACCAGATCTTTTTCTACCATCAAATTGAGATCACCTTAGAGGTTACTGTAATGACTAAAGACAATGCATGTGAATCTCTTGGTCAATAAATGATTGCTCTTATTTCCATGGCGGAAGGTCAATTTCTAGTGAGTCTCATCGTTGGCTTGCTCGCTGTCTGGTTATGATGAATAATGCATGCACATATATTCCTGGATTTGCAAGCACAGCTCAGGATGGTTTGTGATTGTCAACATATTCTGCAGAGGCCTGTTTCCAAGATTTTCTGAGTTTTTGTCAAGTAGAGATAAATGCCGATGGAAAGTGTCACTTGTCACATTACCAGCAGCCAGGTATCTCCCTAATATCTTTTTCCTCCCCCAGCAGGACTGACAGGGAAGGCGGATCAAGAGACAGACAAGAGGCTACAGAGCTGGCATCGCCCTTTTGCCCTTTGAAAGAAGTGGCCTGGAGCTGGCCTGGAAGAATGGCTGCAGGATGGGCTTGGATGGTTTCCCTCTACACATTAACTTGAAACAAAAGGCTGTATGTTTATGTGACAAAATAGTACCACTTGTAAGTGTGGCAATGACTAGAATGAATCCGTTTCAATGTTCAAGGCTGCAGTGCAATCCAAAAGGAAATTTTGAGAAAGTGCTCTGAACTTTTTATCTCCATGGAATTTTTGGAACTTCTGGGTACTCTTGCTGGCATTCTTAATACATGTGTTCTCGTTTTCTTATTTAATCCCCAAGGGATTTCAAAATATGAATTTTCATTGCATTAATGACCATCAGAATGATAGCAATTTCATGAGGCCCTGTAGGAAATAGAAATGAGGTTCACTTTTGTTTTTTTTTTTTTTTTTTTTTCTTCCGGTACCAGGAATTGAACTCACGACCTTGCGCTTGCCAGGCAGGCGCCTTGCCATTGAGCTAAATCCCCAGCCCCGAGGTTCACTTTTGTTAGTGTCTGTCACTGTCATTCAGTTCACACATTAGGTGCCTCAACTACAAGTTGGACAATGGAGAATATTGGAATCATATCACCCAGATATTATCTTCATCAAGTAATTTTTATCATAATTCACCACCACATCATATGCAGTCAAGGAAAACAAACAGATTAATTAACCCATGATCAAAGACTATTTAACCTACAGACAATTTTAGCGTCCTTCTGATCCCTTAATGAGACCTTGGTAGGAGATTAATTTGCAACTAAGGCAGATTATATGCATAAAGGAGCAGGAGAGGGGGTAATATTCTGAAAGTTATTGGGGCTGGGGATTTGGCTCAGCGGCATAGTGCCTGCCCAGCAAGCGCAAGGTCGTGTGTTCGATTCCTGGTACTGGAAAAAAAGGAAAAAAACAATAAATGAAAGTTATCTCTCTTTTGTTTAAAGGCCTTTAAAAAAGTAGGGGGCACTGTACTATGATTCAGTGGTTTCTAGATACTTTATGAAACAGTTAAATTGAAAAAGAAACATTTAAGAGACCGATATGGTTTCCAACTCTTAATTTTATCAAGTATAGATATTTAAAACTATATTTACTTTAGGTTATTGATGTCATTTGAGAAAGGTGTTTGAATAATGTGGGTAGATGTAATTCTGAATAAAGAATGGTCTTCAAATTAAATACTGGCTAACGTGTATTGAAGACATTATTTTTGAGGATCTGTTGTAAATCATTTGAGTGTACAATATTACCCTCATGACCTTCTTGGATAGATACCATTTTTGTTCCCATGTTACAGATGCAGACATCAAGATACAAAGAGGTAATATGTTCAAAATAACACAGAAATGTGAAAGTTTGGATTCATTTCTCCAGAGTTCTTGGTTTTTAAAACTATATGATGGGCCTTAATAATGCCTTATAATGCATATAGTTTCACTAAAAACATGATTGCTACTTTAGCCTGGTTCAGTTGCTATAACAAACTAGCATAGACTGTGTGGTTTATAAACAACAGAATTTATTTCTCACAGGTCCGGCAGATCCAATGTCTGGTGTGCAGATATCTTCTTCTTGCTGTGTCTTTCCATGGTGGAAGGGTCAAGGGGTTTCTTTCAAGTCTCTTTTGTAAGGACACTAATCTCATTCAGTAGGGAACCCGCATGACCTAATTACATCCTAAAGATCCACTTCCCAATGCCATCATGGTAGGTATTAGAATTTCAACAGATAAGGGACTTAAACATTCAGGCCAGTGGTTACATAACTTATTATTCTCATTTTCACATTGACGGGTATACAAGTGATCACACTCCCATGCCAGTCTGAAAATCAGGGCCTATTTTGGAGAATCAAGAGACAGATGGTTAGTGCAAAAGGCTTAGACCTCAATTTCATGAAGTCCTCAAAGTTAGACCCTTAATGTTGTCATCAAATAATATTATACATCTAGACACCGAGAGATACCATCTGTGATGGTTACTCTTGATTGTCAACTTAGTTGGCTTTAGAGACATTAAGAGATTAGTAAAACACCCTTATGGGTATTGCATGGGGTGTGTCTGGGTGGGTTGTAGGGGTGTGACCTTGGGGACTATACCTGATCCCCGGTTCCTTTTCTCCTAGCCTCTACTTTCCAGGTGCCACTAGTTGAGCAACTTTCCTCCACCGTGTTTTTCCATAATGATCTTTCTTTTGTCTTGGAGCAAGCAAACCAACAACTGAAATCTGTGGAATCCTGCACGAAAATAAACCCAAGTTATAGGCATTGCAGGTGTTTTGTCCCAGTAATGGGAAACTGCCCAATAAACCATTTGGTTTAATAAAAGAGGCCATTCACTAAATTTCTTGCATATAATTATCAGATGTACTACACATAGTACACTACCAATTAATTTTTTCAAAATAAAACATAATTATCTTGTGGGAAACATCATTCTAGTGGTATTGAAACTATATTGTGGAGGAGAGAGTACTGATTTCCTCCTCTCCTAGTTTCCACAGAGCGGTGGAGGATGCTCTTCCTACTTTCCCAGGAGGGAAAGCCATGCCAGGAGTCCTCTTATCTTCTGCCCTTCACTCTCCTCCTCCAGGGAGATGAAATAACGTCCCTGATTGGTGGAGTGGCTTGGCTTGGTGCCTTTTGGATTTATCTTTCAGAGCCATTCTAGCCCTATACATCTTCTGCTGTGATTTGCCTACTGAAACATCTCTGCCTGTAAAGAGAGGTAAATTCAATTGGGCGGGGGCAAGAGTAAGTCTCATTGGTTTCAGATCTAAAGCCACATTATCCCATTGGCTTGATCTGTTATAAAGTTAACATTTTAATATTTGCTTTTCTGTCTTTTTTGCTTTATTTCTGATTTGATTGCAAATTTCGGGAAACAGGAAAGGAAGTATGCATTTAGTTCCTAAACTCCAAATCTATATGACAGTGTACACCTATAAGATGGAGTTTGAGAGGACCCCAAGTGGTGTCTGAAACCTTATCTACACTAAAGATTTCTATTTTTTTGTTTTTTGAAAAAAACCCCACATTTTATAATTTTATAATCAAATAATGAAAATAATAATAATTATTACACTGTGTATTATCGTCTTCAAAGTAGTTACTCAGAGTACAAGGCATAAATAAAAAAGATTCTTACAAAAAAGAAAGAAATAATAACACAAAACTTTCTTTTCAGTAAAGTAAAATGAATTAGTAGTGTAAATGAAATCAATTAGCACATATTTTGAAATTTTTTTTGAGACAAGATCTCACTATGTAGTTCAGGCTGACCTTGAACTCACTATGTAACCTAGGCTGCCTTTGAACTCATAGTGATCCTCCTGCCTCAGCCTCCCTAGTACTGGGATTATAGGCATATGCCACAATACCTGGTTTGAAATATTTTTAAAACAATGGAATTTGTAATTTGGGGGAAATATTTGAATTTCTGCACAATTCCTATTTATCTGTTTTCTATTTTTCTCTATTTAAATCTATATATCTACCTATATCATCTCTATATATGTCTATATAGTGTTTCTCACATAAAAGAAGTCACCAATATTTGAGCTTGTGTGTCTTATTTCACCTAACATTATGTTCTCAAGTTACATTCATTTACCTATGAATCTCTCAAGTTCATCCTTCTTTATGGCAGGGTAGTACTCCATGGTGTATAAGTACCGTATTTTCCTTATCCATTCATCTATTGATGTACATGTACACTATTTCCAAGATCTAGCTATTATAAATTGGGCTGCTATAAAGATGGGTATGCATATATCTCTATCATGTGATTATTTTAGCTCTTTTGAAGTTACCTAGAAGGGGAATAGCTGGGTCAAATGGAATTTCTATTTTTAGTTTTTTGAGGAATCTCCACACTGATCTCCATAGTGGTTGTTCTATACATAGTTTACTGTCCCACCAACAATGTAGTAGAGTTCCTTTTCCCCCATATCCTCTCTAGCATTTGTTATTATTAGATTTTTTTGATGATAGCCATCCTTTCTGGGGTAAGATGAGTTTTAATTTGCATTTGTCTGATGGCCAGTGATGATGAGCATTTTTTCATGTATGTATAGGGCATTTGTACTTCTGAAAATTGTCTGTTCCTTTCAGTGGCGCATTTTTTGACTGGGTCTTTTATTTTGAAGGGACCAATATTTTTCAGTTCATTATATATTCTAGACATGTCCTATGTCTATGGACAGTTGGCAAATTCTTTTCCTGTTCTGTAGGTTGTGTCTTCACTCTGTTGGTTGTTTCCTTTGCTATGCGGAATCTTTTTAATGGGATATGATCCCGTTTTTTAATTCTTGGTATTAGTTCTTGTGCCATTGGGGTTCTGCTCAAAAAGTCCTTGTCTGTGCTGATGTCTTCAAGAGTTGTACTTATCTCCCAACAAAATTTTTCCTGTTTTAACATTTAAATCTTTGGTCTGCTTTGATTTTAGTTCAGTACATGGTCAGATAAATGGGTGTAGACTCAATCTTCTCCATGATATCCAATTTTCCCAACACTGTTTATTAAAGAGGCTTTCTCCCAGTGTATATTTTTGGCTCTTTTGTTAAAGATCAAATGGTTGTTTGTGCCTGGAATTGTTTCTGCTTCTTTTGTTCTGTTTCATTGATCTACATGCCCGTTTTTGTGCCAGTACTATGCCATTTTAATCACAGTAGCTCTATAGAATAACTTCAAGTCTGAGATTATGATGACACCTACTTTGCTTTTGTTAACCCAGATTGTTTTTCTATTCTGGGTCTCTTCTGATTCCATATAAATTTTAGGATTGTTTCCTCTACCTCTGTGAGAAATAGTATTGGTATTTTGATTGGGATTGCATTAATTCTGTGTACTGGTTTTAGAAGTATAACCATTTTGATTATGTTGGTTCTACCTAATCAGGAACAGGGGATATTTTTCCATTTTCTGATGTCTTCCTTGATTTCCTTTTTCAGTCTGAGATAATTGTCATTGTAGAGGTTTTGCACTTCCTTAGTTAGGTTAATGCCTAACTATTTAATTTTTTGATACTATTGTGAATGGTATTGTTTCCTTCATTTCTTTTTCAGTGAATTTTTTATTAGTATACAGGAATGCTATTGATTTTTGTGTGTTCATTTT